ATGATAGGCGAGGATGCTGCTGAGTACTTCATGAACCTAAGTCCATTTGAAATGAAGACTTTATTATATCACATCCTGAGTGGAAAAGAGTTTGGAATCTCWGATGGTAGGCTATGTTACTTTTAGACCAACRCTAGGCACCTTGCAGTTCAGGGGAATACAGCTCCAACTGGAGGACAAAGCAATGTATTCTAGTTCCCCAGAGAACAAAAATCTTGTTTTGTCCTCCAGTTGAAGATACCTTGAAGTCGCATGCAAGGAGTCTATACGTAACTGCCGGATAAACTAAATATAGATAACATGTAAAAAAGGATTGAGTGTTAGTATCCAGATCCCTGTGCTCTTCACGCACAGGTATCCCGATGATTTGGTTTATTTCTTATCATCTTTCATGATAGCGTTAAGGAGAACAAAAAAAAATTATATTAATTAATTGTTTTATTATGCTGTTTATAATTATAATTCAAGGTTCGATTCGTAACGTGTCAGAAAAGCAGCTGTCAATCATCAACATCGACCTTCCAAAGAGAGTTGGAATGAAGAAACTTTCTAAAGCTATCAAGGTATTACAGTCAATCTGGTTTACTACATTTTATTGGTTTTGCCTTTCGGAAGGTGACTATGAATAACCAAAGACAATTTTTTTGATTTTTTGATATGAATACTTCAAGTTTTTTGGTCAAATATTTTGGATAGCCCGCTTCCTTTGGTGACTTGGTATTTAGCATCTTCAATTGCAATAGCTAAATCATTGGCCGCTTAAAATGGTTTTGAGCGAAAAGCGTGCGTACCGCATAATTGTTATCTTGGCAAATAATAAATAACGTAATTTCTACTCCCTTTGATGACGTAACGTGATATAACGCGATGTAATATGACGTAGGTTTTTTTGTGTCATTCTAATTGTGGGATAATATCTACCAGGTATTTTTTGCAAGGTTTGTTAGTTAGTGCGACTGATTCTTCTGTTATACAAATATTTATCTGCAGAAAATGGGCGTTGTCACKCAGCTTTCGCGGGTAGGTCAGATTTCCAGACAGCAATTTGCGTTCAGTTTTCATGCGTACAGGTTTTGCTTTCGTTTTTGTTGTCAGGCAAATACATCGTTCATTTATTAGGGACTCGTTCATTATACTGTCAGTAAAASCCATGTATAAGAACCCCACTCTTCTGCCCATTGCCAGAAAGCGRTGGCTCTTTCTTTTTCCTCAAATAATGCAGAGCATCAAAAATTGGTTTTGCTGGTATATGTATCARTGTGCAATATTGCGATTGCTTCCATCATATCAGAATGGATGGTCTGAGCCCAAGTGTAAGCGACTTAGCTGTAGAAGAAACTTGATGTTAAAATGAAGTTAAACTTCTTACCTCGGATTTATTCAGTTTTAAGCGTTTGGTCAGCCATAGTTAAAAGAGACCCTCTATTAACTATGGGCCACCCAACCTGTTTCGATACTCCATTCAACAACAGTCTACGCACTCACTATCTATTGTTTCTATTGTTCATGATCAAGTTATTCCTTTGTGGTTTTTAGGCATTTTACGGATACAAGATTATCCTCAATTCAAAGAAAAGTTATGTCAACGATTTTTCATGCTCTTTCAGTGTTTAGTTTTGTGCAAGACCGTCTGATCTCAAATAAAGCAGGCGACCATTTCATCGAAACCTGGTAATAGCCCTACGACAATTTTAGTCATGTCGTAAGGATAACTTTGGCATGTTGCAGCCATGCGGTGGTGATAGGCAAATGTTGTATCCTGCCCTCTAGAAAACATGTACATGGTTCTTATGCAAAGGGTTTTACTGCTTCAGTTAGGGTTTCATATTCTGACAACACACTTTTAGGATCTTATCGTGCTTTTGTCGTTGAAATCTCTATACTTTCACATTTAACAAAACATTTATCTGCAGAAACTTGGTGTTACTGAACCACCTCATCTAGAAGTGGTAGGTCGTTGACGTTCAATTTACTAACACCACAAACTAATTCAACGAGAGTTTAGTTGTTTTTCTTTCCATTGCATGACACTTTTCACAGTTTTTGTACAGTTGTGTTTCTGTTTATAAAGTGTATACGTCATAGATCACGTGAGTCATCTACTAATCAAAATAAAGTACGCGATAACTCCATTGATTCGAGAMTCAATACTAATGATTTTTCATACTACTTTTGGGAAACTTTGTTACCTRTGGATAGGTGAGCCCACAAACTAGTGAGCGTRGTCTCGYCCATAAAGGKYATATGACGTCATGCTGAAGGMAAGAGCCTGGTAACAAGGCTATAGTAAACATAAAGTATCATAATTGATGGTACAGTAATTTTGCCTTTTTGTAGTCCTTTAGAACGAAATTGCCTTGCCACATCAACAAACTGACTTATCTATCGTTGGTAATCCGGAATTATTTCTTTTGCGAGTAGATTGCATTTTTATACTTTTTCTTTTGGATTGAAAAGACTATTGTGATCCTCTTAGCTTGTGTGCAACTGGGGTGAGAAAGTTTCCCGAGAAGTGAATATTCTTATTATATTTTCTTTATGAGTGATGTTTAATGCAAATCGTTTCTTTGTTCGTTCTTCTAAATGAAATTGATATCACAAAAGGTAGAGTGGTTTTCATAAACCCGTGAAACAAAGTATAATAATTAGAGTGTAATAGATCGTAATAGTCGCGTAGAGACAATAAAAAACAAAAGAGCCAAAGTGTAATAGCGATAAATACGTTAAAGTGTGTTTCACGGGTTAATGAAAACCACTCTAACATCTTAGTATTATGTATTGAAGAACAAAGCCTGATTATGCAGATTCTCTCTCCGACTGCCCCCGGAAAACCCTCATGTATTTATGATCTACGTAAAAGAGATGCCTATAGAGGAGGAGCGATTTTATATTTTGCTGTGTTAATGTGCTGTCTTCGCAGCCATTTTGAATTAGACGGCGAAAAGATGAATTCACCGAAAAAAAAAACACGTTTTAACAATACCTGAAAATTGTAAGACCTTGTCCAAAATGATGTGTTTCCGTAGCGTTTTTGTATTTTCCAACCCTAGCAGACAGAAAACGATAGAAAATCGCTATGAAAACGCTGCGGTATGGACGAGCTTCATGTGCTCGCGGAATTTTTAATTACAAGTGATGTAAACCCATCAAATAAACTGTTTTTTGTTGTGACCAATGTAGAGTTTAAGCGAACATCGTGGCTTAAAACGTCAAGTAGCAAACCCCGACATTCATCCATCTCATCTAAACAAACAAGAAAGCGCAGACTATGCGGAAGAACACGATCAACAAAAGCACAACGAACACCACGAAGACGAACGGGAAGGAAACTGGGTTAGAAGACGATGTCTTGATGGTGCGCTTAATAGAGTGCCTGAGGACTTCTATCGCAACGTGTGGAAAGTTCTAGAAAAGGTAATCATTATGTGCACCTTGCGCTGTCAAAAATGACGAAACCCGTACACGGATAAGTTTATAATCGATTTGACATATCATTTTGTGACTATGGTGGAAACTAGCGGTAAACTAGTGTGAGCTGCGTCGGTGTTTCTAAGGAAACATTCGTGTAAAAAGGTAAATTTAACACCGTAAAAAAATAGGTGATGTTTCGGACGTTAATCCTTCATCGTAGTCATTCTGTGACTGACTGGCTCACCATCACTCCTCTCTCCCTCACTCTTTCGCTCGTTCGCTCGTTCGCTCGTTCGCTCGTTCGCTCGTTCAGTTATTTTTGTACAGTATAGAATAATAAAATTGTTAAGAATTCTCAGTGTAAATGTCGATGTTTTATTATTTTAGTGCCACTGGCTAACCATCTACAAAAACAATCTGCCCTCGGCTATGGTTCGCGAAGTAAGTACGACTTCCGCTGGACAAAAAAAGTACAGGCTCTGGGTTAACTGCAATTGTATTATCTATTTTCAGATGACTGCCAGGGAACTCAAGTTTGCTTTGTGCGTAGAAGGAGCTCTAAATCGAATTCCGGAGCCAGAATATCGACAACTAATCGTGGAAGCTCTTATGGTAATGGCGTTAGTAGTTGAAAACTATCCCGACCAACCCTTATGGGACACAGTTGATGTGGATGACTTAGTCTATCAAGGATATAAGATTTATTTAAAAGAACAGGTGAGAGTTTAGCTACATGTTAAGGTCGATTAACCTTTACGTATAARGGATGCAGGGGCGGATCCAGAATTATGTCAGGAAATRGTGGAAGTCCCCAAATAAAGAAGTGTCTAAAGTTTACCAGAACTTAATTTCGAGTTTCGGATGAAAAGATGCAAATGTTAACCGTACTAATCGTGATCGATTCATTTTTATGATGTCCAAAAAAAACCCCATTTCTTACAATGTTGCTTTTATTGATGTAATTGCAGGCTGCCATTGGAGGCGATTCGACGGTATGTTGCGCACGCCCAGTGCACGARCAGATCAGCTGCGGGGGTGCTTGTGGAATTTGCCGTTATTTCTACGATACAGCACCGAGTGGCCGGTTTGGAACCATGACKTACTTCTCTAAAGCCGTCGCAACGAAACTTAGTTATATTCCCCATGAAAATGAATGCGTTTTGTCTTGAATGAAGGCATCGATAATGCAAGGAAATGGAGGTCTTACAGAATGTGTCCGGTATATTGAGAGATTTTTTGATTTGCCTTCGTTTCGTTACGATGCAAGCATAAGTCATTGAATGATCAAAGCTATAGACTGGGTACATTTGAACTATAAACCAAGCACACTAAATCCGTGAAACATTAAGTATAACAGTGCAAAATAGATGCAGAATAATGTGAATTTCTCTCTTTTCCTTTTGTCTCTTCAGCACAATCTAGTAATATCTAGTACCATTGTTTCACGGATTTATGGTGAAAGTTCAAAAAGACTCTTTAAAGTGTTTAGATGTCCCTAGGGCACCATATTTCATGCAAGCGAGAACTAAAAATTAAATCACTTTGCTATTCTAATTTATTTTAGTTGTACAAATAATTTTGAAAATGGAACAACAATAAAAGCGCCTTATAGAAGTATGAAGGACAGGGTTTTTTATAGAACTATATTACTAAGCATAAAAAGTCCGTTTTATTGACTGTTACAATTCCAGTACAAGCTACATTGTAGCCTCGTTCCAATGAAAGAAAACATTAGAAATAGMCAAATTTACAAAAAGATTCGATACTAAGCTCGCTTGCACTGGGATTTTGAGACTATTCCGATAAGTTCATAAGTTTTCATAGCCCCGAGTGAACATGGTCTCAAAGCCATCTGGTCTTTCTTTGTCCAGGGGTTCTCGCATAGTAAAATCTTGTTTGTCTCTATAAAGAATAAATATTGTTGAGTCATGTTTTGTGGTCGTGATGTTTTGATGTCAATAGAYGCGTATTAGCTGTAAGTTTATCTGATGTCACCGCAAATCAGTTCCTTTACCCTAATGTTTTCTATCATAGTCATTGACTCTGTGATCTTAGATGTACATTAAAGCAAAAATAAAATTGGAGGAGTTAYTGTCAATTTCCTTTTCACGCCTTTTCTCATAATCAAATTTCTTTACAAATAAGTTATTTACAAGTCACGTTTAATTAAAGTGGAAAAAATGGTCATTCCTCAACTGTGTTTCGTGATATATGCTGAGTAAACTATGGGTTTACCGGCAAACCTGGTTTTATTGCAATTCTTTATCGCTTCAATTGACTATCGTTCAAACGGTTATTTTGTTGGCAAAAGATCCCAATCGATCAGTGATTTTCATCCATTATCAGGCTGCGTGACTAAAGTTCAAAACATGTTGCGCACTCACTGTTGTTAGCCGTGTAGCGCACAGTAAGACCGACAGATCTCATAGAGATGATGGCCAACCCAACGCAAGTGGCGATGCTTTTTAAACGATTAATTGACCATGCCGTACGATCATTTACCAAGAAAATAATCCTTCGCTTCAAAAGTCCGCATTATACGAACGCGCTATCGTTGGCACATGGTTACTGAAAATTAAAATTGCGACATTTCAGGAAAAAATTATATTTGTTWATCAAATGTTTCAGTACGAATCGGCACGCATTTTTTGCTYTGTCAAATT